CCAAAGATCCCGGGATCTTAGGCGAATGGGATCTTAGCCGACGCACCAAGGGAAGAATCTACAGTGACCCATGTTAAGGCCCACAAACGGTAAAATAGTTTCCCTTCACCCTAAAATAAACTGACGTAACGACTGGGTGGGTTTATATGGCGAGCAAAGAGTGGTCAACCTTGATGACCAATCGCAGTGGTATGAGCTCATGGGGCATACTATTTTCACTTTTTATCCTATCATGAGTCTCAAGATCTACGCTTATCCCAGTTGCCCCTCCCCTTTACCTGTCTAAAATTTAGAGCTTTCCATCTCTGACAAAGTTCCCCCCGCCTTTCGTTAATACATTGTGAAAACACCAATTAAAGTACAGTCTGCCTGGCAAATTCCGGAGTAGAGACAACTGCAGCAATGGTCAGGGAAGAGAGTTCACAGTTCTATATGTGATCCCACCGGGAGTGAACGTGTAGGCCCTATCCACCCAGCGAGTGATGTAAAAATTTTGGTGGAGAACTCAGATGCAAGAAGAGCGATGTATGGGGAAAAAACACATCAATCAGTTCACACCTCAAAGTGGTCCCGTCCGGGGCAAACATTGTACATATGTTTATGTCCCATTTCATTGACTTTTACAACACTTATGTGATCACATTCAGGATAGTAGCAGAGCTTTGATGTAACAGGTAGTTCAATGATCTCAACTTTTCACTCTTGGTTGATCGGATGTGCCCGCCTAGGTTTTTGTTCCGTAAATTATTATTATCTGAAATGCGGGATCTTAGCTGAAAGAAAACTTTCAGAGTGAATCAAAGCAGGATCTTAATACACGTGTAGTGATTTTTGTTTACAATTCTTTACATGTAGTCTAGTAGAAAAAAAAATGTTTCTTCTTAAAACAGCAGGATCTTAAAGTTAAAGTTACAGCGGTGGGATCTTAGGTGGAGACAGCAGTATAATAATTGCAATGAATATATCCACGTCGTCTCCAGCTAACACAAGTACAGTGGGCTCCACTTATGACAGGATTTCGGCTTCGGCAGGCTCATCATAACAATTTATCCTTGAGCCCAATATCATACAAAATAATTAGTAAGGTAAAAATGTTCATTCATAGCAAAAATTCAGAATAGGCATACTCAGCTGTAACTGTAACTGTGGTCCAACCATTAACTTAATTTTAGTTAGAGTTTTACGGCACTTGCAACACAATAAGTTCATATAATAAGTGCCGAAGATTAGAGGAGTTACAATCCAGCAACAAACACAAAAAAGAAGGAGGGGAGATACGGACTATAGTTGTTTGATAGGAAAGAAGGAGCAAACCACACCAAAGCACCCACCAACCCCCCACAACCATTGACTAAAACCTAAAACATATGTAGGCCTATAATATACATTTGTATGGAGAAAAAAACCAGGAAAACAGTAAATGAAACAAAACTACATCCAGGGCGAATTGTGATGACCCACAAGAGGCTAAAGCTGATTATTATGATATATCAGATAATATCATACTTGAAAATAAAATGGTATAGGTTTAACGCCCCTATAAACACTATTAGGTTTTATATCATACTTCATACTCTTCATACTATAACAGAGCTTCGATCTACCTCACTGACATGCAAGTACTGCGACAGAATCTGCACTTCACAAACAGAGGAAGAATTAGCCATGAAAGAAGCTGCACAAAGACAACTTTGAGACCATCTTAACACTATCCTTACGTCATGTTTTACTATCGTATCCATACGATGTGGGGAACTCTGTGCTACCACTTTCCAAAGCGGAATTTTACTCGTTAATCCGATGGGTACGCTATGCAGTCCGTCAAAATGATTTTTTTTCTTTTAGAAATACTGACAGTTTCAAAGAGATCTTGTTCTAGCTAATCTAAACGGTGCCCATTCCCTCAGAAAAGCATGCTCGAAGGCAAACGTGACATAAAGTTGGTTTCTAAGGGGAGTAACCTAAATTTAATTTTTTTTATTTTAGTTGGGCGTTTTTTCCGACCCAAACACAATTTTTTTTGGATCACTTAGGAAGTGGGCTTCCAAAGCGACTTATAAGAGACTCAATATCTTGCTGGATTTAGAAGATCACAAAAAAAAAATCACAAGTACATCAAGGATGTGAAAAATAGATTCATTCTAAGATGTAGATCTACATATATATATATATATCTCTACAAATTTTATAATATAACATCATGTAGGCTATGTAGTATTTTCTTATAAATCACAAGGAGGATGGACAACAGCCAGTATTAACTGACCTTTGGTTTCTTGCGTAAAGAGAAGCACATCCGACACAATAACGGTAATTTTTAAAGCTGGGAAAAAGTAAGGCAGACAGACAGACAAAAACATCAGAGGGAAAGTAAAGAAGTTGGAGCTACCAGTGGCGCGGCAGCCTCCGGTCACCCACTAACTGATCATGTAATAGTCCATTAAGACATTAGAAAAAGAAAGATAACAATAAGAAGAAATGAAAACAATAAATGACAATAATAATAGGAAAGGTGACAAAATGAGCTACATCCATGAATGGAGGTATTATATTATATTAACTTATTAAAAATCTACACTGGGGTAAAATTTGTTGATTTTCAAGTTATGCAATTTTCCTCAAGTACCGGTACATCATAATCATGTCATTAATTATTTCATTATAAATTAAACAAACTCCATTCATAAATTCATCTTTTTCCATAGAGGACAGGACTAAAATCTGAGAAGTAACTCATTTTGTCAGCACACTTCACATATATTGGAAAAGAACATATGAATAACCAGTAAACCGGCAGAGGGTAATCTATGAAAGACATTCCACTCGTTAAAATCATGAGTTACAGTGATATGTCTTAAACTTAATCCACATCTTGGCTTTTTAGTTTTAGTACATGTAAGACTTTTACGGCACTTGCTACACAATTCAATAAGGTCATATATAAATGCAGAAGAATAGATTATATGTCACAAGAGAGTAACATACACAAAAAAGGAGGAGGGGAGATAAGGACGACAGATCTATGTTTGATCATTGATAGGAAAGAATGAGCAAACCACACAAAAGAGCACCCGCCAACCACCCACATAACAGGGTTTGGCCACAACAGGATCACGTTGAACCTGGCGATCCTTTTATAGCCGGGGCCCACTGTACTAATAATAACTTACAATTGCCAGAACACAATTCTATAATATAATTATAATAAATTAATGTATGTATGTACACGATCTGCTTTCAATAAGAAGCAATAATAGGATTTAAAAATGCACAGGCATTGACAGCATACAATGGCACCTATTTTTCTCTGGCTTTGAGAAAAAACACTCTACCAACAATACATATTGGACAAAAGTCATAAAAAATCAGCAACATCTCCTACTTCTGGCTTCCCATTTTCCATATTTTCTCATACATTCAATAATGAAGAACACACACAAAAATTTATAATAAATATAGACCAAGCAACACAAGAAATCCCCAAGTAAAATGAAAATATGTGGTAACAGTGTACAACTACAGTCTCGAGTACACATTCTGACATATTGCAGTGACTGTAAGCTCACTGTTGGTGAACAGTCCAGAGTCGAATTGATTGACATACTCGTACGAAGTTTGACAAACAGCACTATTAATACTATTTTGAAAGGGAAACGACTGTGGTTTGGTGCCACATTTGCAAGGCATGATCAACACTGACCTTTAACCACACAAGACGTTACATTATACTTTCATAATATAATATATAAATGTCATTGCGCTTTGTAGAACTTTCCCTTTTCATCTTTCCAGACAAACAGCACAAGTCATTTTTAAAACGATGTGCTACCACTTTTGCCTCCTCCAAAAATACATTATAATTTATACTTGTAAAGCCCTGCTTCTTGAGGAAGCCATTTTTTCTGTCTACATAAACTAAAATTGTACCGCACAAACTTAACACCAGTAAAGTATTTCTTCACCACATATATGTCCTTAAAATTTTGCTTCCCTTCACTTTTGACTTTGACTGACCATCCAGCGCAAGTACACTGGTACTACATGTATGCACCTCAAACTTCACTGTATGAGAAATTCCTCGTAAAACAAAATCTATTCTTGTCTTCCTACTACAGGCTGCAGCCAGCCCACAATCCCAAATTCATACCGCAAACTTCATACCTGTATCACAACAGCCTTCTTCACAGAGCTCATTTTTTACCCTTCAGTAGAAGTGTGGCCCACAAAGAGAATGTGCTCTAAACTTACAATAGTAAAACCCAGTTATACCGCCTACTTTGGGACAAACATAAAGCTGGCAGTACAGTGGGGCTGGCGGTACAGTACGAGAGGACAGCGCAGATTGCATCTTGACTAGTGGAAGACTGCTAGAGACTTGCTAGGCAAACTGTGGCCAGTCTTGACTCATCTAGTCTGGTGGGATTGAGTGAGAGTGCTCAAACCACAAGCTGCAAATCTAAGGTACAGTCCGTGCCAGCTTTAAGCACGCCGGCTTTAAGCACGTTTCGGACTCAAGCACGCTAAACGGCTCTTACCGAATTTTTGCTATATAAACTACACGCCTTTAAGCACGGTAACTTCTGCTTCAAGCACGCTTCATTTACAAGACAGTCAATGCTTTCATGATGACCTATCAAAGTTCGAACAGTCTACACCGCAGCAGTGAGTGTGTTAATTAAGAGAAACACAAAGAACGCAAGCGACGGAGTCACACACTCACACAGGCGGAGAGGAAGGCAGAGAGATGCACACAGCCACGCGCCTGGACATAGATCTAGCCTTTGGCAAAGCTACACACAGACGAAAAAAATACAAAGAGTCGGCGAGATGAGAAAGGGAGGCTGGCTGCGATTTCACCTTTGACCATCGCTATCAGTTAATCCTGATTGTGTATCACGCGCGAGGTGGGATGAAGGCGGTGGTATGAATGTGGCACAGCGGGCAGTGGTACGCACAGGCAGTGTGTAGGCCTAGTGCCAAGTGTGCTGTATCGTGACTGGCCGTCTAAGTTAACTTTTCATTTCCCATTCGACCACAAAACAAAAACAAACAAGAAAACAAAAACTACCATGGTGGGTAAAAATAAGAGTGCACAATTTTGCGGGACCGCTATAGGCCTACTTACATTCAAAGGGAAATAGCAAGTGAAATTTTCTGCATGAAAATCTCTGGATTATATCTACTTCGCACTCAAGCACGCTTCGGCTTTAAGCACGCTTAAGCTTTTTCCCGATGACCGTGCTTAAAGCCGGCATGGACTGTACTTCACACCTGTGAAGACTTAAAAATTCTCTTCTTGTGCATGTTCCTTTGTGCCTCTATAGTCTATAGGCTACTCCGACTCGTAAATGATGCATCACAAACTTCACACTTTTGTACGGCTTTTCTCCTGTTTGTGAGTGTTCTTTTATGACTCGGTCGGCTGCAAGCAGCTATAAATGTTGCATCTCAAACTTCGCACTTGATAGGTTTTTCTCCTATGTGTGTTCTTTGATGTTTCTTTAGACTGCTGTTCTGTGCAAATGTTGCGCCACAAACTTCACATTTGTAAGGCCTTTCACCTGTGTGTGTTCTTTCGTGATTCCGTAAGCTCCCACTGAGAGTAAACGTTGCATTACAAACTTCACACTTGTAAGGCCTTTCTCCCGTGTGTGTTCTTTTGTGACTCTGCAGGTGGCTATTCTCTGAAAACGTTGCATCACAATCTTCACACTTGTAAGGTTTTTCTCCTGTGTGTGTCTTTTTGTGTCTTTGTAGGCTGCGATTTTGTGTAAACGTTGCATCACAAACTTCACACTTATAAGGCTTTTCTCCTGTGTGTGTTCTTTTGTGACTCAATAGGTTGCTATTATCTGAAAACATTACACCACAAACTTCACACTTGTACGGTTTTTCTCCTGTGTGTGTCTTTTTGTGTCTCTGAAGGCTGTGATTGTGTGCAAATGATGCATCACAAACTTCACACTTGTAAGGCTTTTCTCCTGTGTGTGTTCTTTTGTGTCTCTGTAGGCTGTGATTTTGTGGAAACGTTGCATCACAGATTTCACACTTGTAAGGCTTTTCTCCTGTGTGTGTTCTTTTATGACTCTGTAGGTTGCTATAATCTGAAAACATTGCATCACAAACTTCACACTTGTACGGTTTTTCTCCTGTGTGTGTTCTTTGGTGTCTCTGTAGGCTTTGATTTTGGGTAAACGTGGCATCACAAATTTCACATTTGTAAGGCTTTTCTCCAATGTGTGTTCTTTTGTGTATCTGTAACTGGGCAGTCGATTCAAACATTAAACCACACACTTCACATTCACGGGGCTTTTCTCCATGGTGTGTTTTTATATGACTTTGTAGGCGTCCACCATGTTTAAAAATTTCACCACAAAATTCACACCTGTAAGGCTTTTTTTCTTCTGTATGTAGTTTCTTGTGTCTCCGAAGGTTGCCACGATGAGTGAACGACACATCACAAACGTCACACTTGTACGGTTTTTCTCCTGTATGTATTCTTTTGTGAATTCGTAGGTCCCCATACCTTGCAAATGTTGCGTCACAAACTTCACACTGGTAAGGCCTTTCTCCCGTGTGAATTCTTTTGTGTTCCAGTAAGTGGCCAATCCATGCAAACGCTGAATCACAAACTTCACATTTGTGTTTTTTGTAAGGCTGTTCTCCTGTGTGTTTCATTTTGTGACTCTGTAGGATATCAGGCCGTGAAAATGTCAAACCGCAAATTTCACATTTGTAAGGTTTTTCTCCTGTGTGTATTCTCTTGTGTCTCATTAGGGTTTCATTTGTTGTAAACCATTTATCACAAATTTCACACCCATAAGGTTTTTCCCCTGTGTGTGTTCTTTTGTGCAACTGTAGTTGGCTAATCCATGAAAATGTTGCACCACAAACTTCACAATTGTAAGGTTTTTCTTCTGAATATGTATTAGCCATAAGCCTGGATACATCTGAGTGACCATGGTCTGTATCTTTGTACACTTTTGAGTTAGTGGTACTGGTAGAAGACTCTGGAAAATTTACACAACTGAAAACCGACAATGCACAAGAAAAGTCCAAATCAGGACGTCGATTCCTGGCAACAGAGTCAGAATTTAAAACATCATATTTCAGAAAAGCTGGATCAGCAGAGAAAGTTGAAGTTGGACTACTGGATCTAACAACATCAGTGTCTGGGTTGGAACTCTTTCCCATACACAAACTCCTCACATTGATTTGCAGCTGCAGTCCTCCAGTCTGACTGATGTGATCCTCATCAAATATGGGTTCAGCATACATCTCCTCCCTATCTCCCACTTGTCCTTCTTCTGTCTTTTCTCCAAAGTCTGAATCCTCACATTCTGTCACTTCCTCTTTCACAAAATTCTTCACTTTGGGTTTCGCTTTATCGTCATGAGGGAAATCTCCACCTATTGGTTCAGTTTTCACCATATCAATATCTGTGTAGCACTCTGTTTCAATGACAGGTTCTGCCTCTTCTTCCTCCATACACCAAACAGGCTCATCTTTTATTACAATGTCTGTCACTGTGGGATTCTTGTTTTCAAAACGTGGTGTGGCATCTGCCTCAGTCCTGACATCACATGGCCATTCAAAACTGGGTTCTTCTTTTACTTTTACAGACAATTGTTCCACTTCAACATCTTCAGCTTCTTGCTCCCCACTTGTAATGTCATGATTTACAGGATCTTCACTCATAGCGCAAGCACAAGTACACCCAGACATAGGTTCGTCAGTAGGTTCATTTTTAACAACTATGTCCATGCCATCAACATCAGGAGTCGCACTTTCTTCCGAAGAACAAGGAACAGACGGACCTCCAGTTTTCACACAACTGTAGCCCTTATCATCTCCAGAGATGCCACAATACATTGTACCTTCATCAGGGTTGATTATTTGATTTTCAGAGATGTCAGCCATTTGGCTTGGGGGGGGGGGGGTTCTTTGTTCTGTAACTTAACCACAAAATGATCTGCTAGTACTTCCAAGACAGTTCAAATTGTTAACAATGATACACTTTCTCCTTCTGCAAAATAGAATGGGTGAAAGATCTCTGCCAATTGTAACACTTTGCCTGGTCCAGAGCAAGGCAAGGCCCAACTCGATTTACTAAAATTTAAATAAACTAAACACGCAATGACAATGTCTGTCTGTCTTGTCTGTCTGCAGACACCAGCACACCGAGTTTCTCATAGATCTAGATCTAGTCTGAACACTGCTGCACCCTGCCCTTTTGATCTTGTTGTCAATTATAAATTCTGATATAAACTATAATAAACTACGCATTGCCATGAGTCTGAAAGGACAAAATCATTCCAGGTTCCAATTGGATGCTGCACAGAGAGGCTTGACAATAAATGATCATATTAAAATGCAGTGCAAATATTTGATCACATTCACATCAAAATCAAATGTTCAAGTTCAAGCTCGTTCGTGGGTCGTGGAGTCTGTCTGTCATGAGATTCGTAATATAGTCCAAACTCACTCAAATTGACCCAAGGGGGTTTATAATAATAATATTATCATTAAGGTCCTTGCACTGAACTCATCCCTTGGGTTCGGCCGATCCGCTTGCTCACTTTGTCCACTGGGCTAGGGAAGCTCACTGATCACTGAACCCGAGTGAACTGTCAGTCAACCTGGCCCCTGTCACTCACTCACTGTACTAGACTGGGCCCAGGTGCCTGCCAGGTACATCAGGTGGAACAGCAGAAACAGCCCAAAAAAAAACTTGTGCCCACAAAGAACTCAAAATTTTATTTGGCGTTATTTCAGTTTCTCTTAGCTTATGTTTTTTTTTTCTGTTTGAAAATGTTAATAAAATATCTTCAAAGCATGCTTTTAAATGTGTTTTAGCCTTAACAATTATACAAAATAATAACATTTTATTCTGAAAGGCCTAAATGTTAAAGTAGAAGGCAAGAGAGAACGGGAGCAAGACAAAAACCTGGCTTGGAACCAATAAATATTAATAATAACAAAAATTATTATTAATAGATTAGGCCATTTATTATGTGCCTAGAAAACAATTCAGGCAGACATAAAAGTAAAAGTAAGAGACAGTGCGATAGTGTTTTATTGCAGAGAGGTCTGAGAGGCAGCATCTAACTACTGGAAAAACCAAAATGAAAATGAAGTTTGTTCTCACTGTTGTGATAGTACATGTATCATGTTCTAACACAAAAATGGCTCTAAATTTCCCTGGCAAACTACACACCACTTGAAAGCGGGCATCCTTCGCTATCAAAGAGGTTATAAATAGAAAATGCCTCTTTGTTCGCTATCTATTGGAGTTTATTTCAAGCCACGGGTGACCCCCTTGTTGACCAATCAAAGGGCTTGAAAAAAGGCTTTGCAGGCTATTTGTAAAAAATCAATGACCTCCTTAGAGACGAATGGGAATCCCTTTGTCTTGGGGGGGGGGGGGGGGTATTTTGTTTTTGTTTCGTTTTTAAATGTGTTTTACGTACGCACTCGCAACGGCTTAGTATAAGATCATAATGGGTGCTCGGGACATATTAAAGATTTTCAGTTTGGTAGGAATTAGTTACGAACTTTGTACGGGTGGTGGCCCAAGTCTCCGAGATCTCTTCTTATCGACTTCGGACCATCAAGGGATCTCTGAAGTGCACAACCTGCACGCGGGACGAGAGTTTTCGCCCTTATCCGAGGAGGCAATGCGTGTCTTACCTACCAAAGGATCAGGGGTGTGGCTGAAAGACAGCAGTAAGAAAAAGAAAAAAGTAGCAGTAGAAAGGCTGCAGAAAGTGTCAGGTGCCAAGAGGAAAGGGGGGGGGGGGGGAGAGGCGGGGTCGGGGTCGCCAGAAAGTGGAAAGCAGACTACAGATCATGGTTTGAAAGCAGGAAAGGGGGGAGTGAAAGGGGAAACTTTTAGAGAAGAATATTTTCCGTTGCTGTCAGGTTTCGACCCGGGACCTTTGAATGCTGAAACTTCAAGACCACAAGAGCCCCCTATTAGGCTCTGATTTTCTCGAAGCTCCCTCGTTCTGCACGCCGGGTTATTTGTAGCCTACAGAGAATGGCGTGTGAGTGATGGTCTAAATACTGAAAGAGACTCAAATTTTATCTCAGTCGAGGGTAAAAAAAAACAGAAACAAAGTTTGTTGATGAGCAATGTGTACTACCGGCTAACCAAAATAATATTTTTTTGTTCAAAGATTGAGGAATCGGTTGACAATTTTCCTTTTCATAGGCTCTGTCAAAGAATTGTATGAATTTTTACTAGAATTTAAATGTTTCTATTATAATCTAACCAAGCCAGGTTACTGTGAGAAGACAAATATACAGCCAGTGCAGTCAGACTCAGATAACTCAAACTCAAACATGTCGGAGACTAACAAAAATGTGTGTAGACAAATCTATATGTCGGGTAAATCAAGGTTAAGGTTAAGGTCAAACAACTGAAGTTTTGGCCCCTAAGGCCTAAGGCTTCTGTGCCATCGAAACTCATGCCTCAGGTGGGCCATATAAGGGCTTATGCTTTACGCCTCACATACCAGTCTTTGGGGTGCATTCGAGATGGAATCATCAGACGAAGAAGATTTGTTGATTTTGTTGTTCCTCAGAAAAAAGAAGCGAAAGAGACAGAGCATAACAATATATGGTGCCGAGAGCATTTTTTGCTATGAGAATCCAGATGAGAATGTCACCGGACATTCCAGCATCTTGCGGACAATCATGATGAAGAACTCTTGTTACATTTATACAAGGTTTCGTACAAGTCAGGATCACATGGATCCCAGAGCAGAGGCCTTGCTTGGACTAACTCGATTACCCCCCCCCCTTGGCGCTCATATAGCCTTACGCAGTTGCGAGCGCCGTAAAAACCTTACTAAAACAAAGAACAGACGCATCCCCCCCCCCCCCCCCTCCTTCCGGAGCGATGCAACTGACTGAATTTTTAAGTGGCTTCAGACCATTCCCAAAGGGGAGACATTAACATGTTCTTCAGTAGAACTGTAGCCTAATTGTAAAAGGGCTGATTCATCAATGTCGTGCTCATAACTGCGCATGAACTGCATCTGAAAACTGCTACTTTTTCTATCCTAATCCTTACTATCGTCATTTTCCTCTACTTCCTTCGTATGTTTGTCACACTCTTGCAACCCGCTATTTCCGGGGTGCCTTGATAGTCGAAGCAGACTTTGCACTGTTGAAGCTAGAGAGGTTAGCACTGAGCAGGGTAAGCCTGATTCCCTGTAAGGACTTCTCTGTTGACATCCACCCCTTGGCGCTCATATGATATTATGCATGGCGAACGCCGTAAAACCTTTACTAACCCTCCCCCCCCCAA